ATAGAGCATAAATCCTATATAGAGCATAAATCCTATATAGAGCATAAATCCTATATAGATACCTTTCTTTGAGGTTTTTTTCTTTGCCGACCGGTCGGCTTCTTTGCGTTTCTCTATTTTCATTTAAATTAATTAAATAAATAAGATTTTTCTATTCATTTAGGATCATTCAGGTTCATTTATTCAGGTTGAAGCTTCCATAGGAGTTCATCGTGGAAGATCAGAATAGTTGTGATGTCACGCTACGTTCGTTCATTCAGTGGCAAACAATGCACGCCTGGCTGGGGTTCGTTTTACGGTTTCTTAGCGGTTCCTTTTTTTGCCAGTTACAGGCTGTTGCGGCTGGCGGGTTTCACCGCGGCTCGTTTTTCTACTTTCATTTAAATAAATTAAATAAGATTTTTTCATTTTATTCATTTCATTCAGGTTGAAGTTTCCAGAGGAGTTCATCATGGAAGATGTCAGGCTACGTTCATTCAGTGGCAAAGACACGCCTGGCTGGGATACGTTTTATTCTTTTTTCTCTGTTTTTCTATCTAATTTAACATTAAGTAAGAATGCATACACGCACACACATACACACACAATTACATTAAGTAGCTATATAGGTAGGTTAGATAGGCATAATTTTAACTGTAGGTAGGATAGATAGGAAGCATCCAACACTAATGTAGTTGAATAGGTAGGTAGGCGCGTAAGTTTATCTCTTCTGTTTTTTCTTGCACCAACATTACACGCATCAGCGTATTACACACACACACACACAAATACATACATAAACACATATGTTAGTATTTTAGCGTAATTTTATTTCCATTACACATTCTAATTTATTATTACTAAGGTTGAGAGTAATTTAATTTCATAGGTAATTAAGGGCAATAATGTAATTCTAGGAACAATCTTGTAATGTAAATTAAAACGCTGTAAGTATCGATAGGTAGGCTAATATAAGTTTTACATTATTATTATTATGTTGGAGCCCAAGGCATTACGTAGGTGGTGGGGTGGGCGCCGATTGGCTAAATGAATTGGGCTCTTGAGTTTTGTAATTTTAGGTAAGCTAGGACCGTAATGTAATGAATAGGTAAGTTAAGGCTACGTTGTAACACATACTCATTAATAGATTTAGGGTTTAAGTTTTATATTATTATTACTAAGTTGGAGCCCAAGGCATTACGTAGGTGGTGGGGTGGGTGCCGATTGGCTAAATGAATTGGGCTCTTGAGTTTTATAATTTTAGGTAAGCTAGGGCTTAATTGTAATGAATAGGTAAGTTGAGGGTACGATAGCCGATTGACTCTGGATTTCAAAGTCTCTTGTCAGAGGTAAGCCTTGGTGGCCAGTGGTGAACCGGCAATGGTTTACTATCCGGACGGCAATGGTTTACTATCTGCACGGTTATGATTTACCATGCGGCACGGCCATAGTCTACTACCCGCACGGCTTCCGGACGGCAAATGGTTTACTATCCGCACGGCAATAGTCTACTATCCGCACGGCAATGGTTTACTATCCGGTGCCCTGGATGTCGGTGAACCTCTGTGCAAGGAGGGAGAATGAAGGGGGACTTTCGACTATCGTACCATTATTAATTTAATATATATTAGTTAAGGTAATTGAATAGGTAGATAGGATTATTTTTATTAAGCAATTTGAGATGCAGGCACCGCTAAGCTTTCTGATGAGAATCTTCTCTTTATTTTTCTTCCTCAATACGGGCTGTGTTTCATCAACAATCTCGGGAGGACTGGAGGACAACGTAGGAACCGGACTAAATTCAACATTCTGCCTTTGTCGAATGGACGACGGTAAGTTTTTTTACACTTTACTCTCTTTATTATTTTAAAATACTATTTATTTGCCATTATTTTCATTTTAAATTTTTTTGCTTTTAAGATTCTAACATTTACTACGCTAATAAAAAAAAATTGTCTACAGAATGATGAGAGGTGGGCAGTGGTGGGCGTCAGCACGTTTCAGATGGTGGTCTCTCGTGATGATTTACGTATAAGGATGGTGGTGGTGTAGGAAGAATCAGCGCGCTGGTTGTTCGACTGACACTTTGAAGTTCGAATGGCATCTTGTGCGCCGACCAGATGATGGTGGTCGGTGCAATGGAGTACAGTAACTAAAATTTTTGAAGTAAGGAAGGTTTAGTTTCGTTTTTTTTTTATTTTTCTCATTCATTCATTTTTCACTCAATCTTTCAAATTATTCTTTTATTAATTGACGTTAATTCATTCTATTCATTCATTCATTCTTATAACTAATTATTTAATCATTCAGTTAACCATTTATTCGTTCGTTCCTTGATTTACTACTAAGCTAATAAAAATCACTTTTCTACAGAATGATGAGAGGTGGGCTGTGGTGGGCGTCAGCACGTTTCAGATGATGGTCTCATAATGATCGTTCCGATGACAATTTGAAGAAAACGACGATTTTTGAAGTATGGTTTATTTCTTTTTTTTTATTTTTCTTATTCAAATTATTCTTCCATTAAAAGATTCATTGATTTATTCTATTCATTCATTAAATCATTGATTGATTAATTAATTAATTCAACCAATCATTCAATCATTCAGTTAATCATTTATTATTTATTAATCAAAAAAACTTGTCTACAGAATGATGAGAGGTGGGCTGTGGTGGGCGTCAGCATGTTTCAGATGGTGGTCTCATGATGATCGTTCCGATGACAATTTGAAGATAATATAAAAGAGAAATTTGTTTTTGTCCCATCGTACCATTGAAAGTACTCGAATTTGTCATCTTAATAAGTTAAGTTGCCTATTTTTTTCGATGGCTTGTTTTTTATTTTAAAGACTTAATTTTTTTTTTCTCAATTTAGTGTTTCTCAGTATTCGGTCAAATTCATTCCATCGATGCGTGTCAGATGATGGTCGGTGCAATGGAGGTTCGTCCGTAGTGAGAGAAGAAGTTTCTGGAGATTACGCGCGCACAATTTACACACACACATCAAAGCAACACACACATATACAACATCCATTCATTCGGTGTCGTTGTTGTCATGTTTCTCTTCAACTTTCTATTTTCTTTACCGGACTTTAATTTAATTTGTAGGTAAGTTAGGGATTGAGATGAGTTGAACAACCGTAGGTAGGCTAGGGCTTAACATTAGTTAAAAAGTTTCAAGTAAAAAAAACGCTGAAATGTGTAAAATAAAATACCTAAAATATGTTAAATTCCAAAAAGTTAGAAATACATACTTGTAGGTAGGTGAGTTGAGTTAATGATTATATGTAAGCTAGGGCCCTGAGAGTAATTTAATTGTAGGTAGGTGACTGACTACTATTCTTGCGACTTCTTACTAGTTTTTTGTAATGTGTTTGTTTGTTTTCGCTTCACGGCCCCACACCAACAAAACAAACTACATTTTATTCTCGTCGTCGCCTTAAATTTTACCTTTTTGAACAATCTTTTTAATAATGTCTATATATTTATTAAATGTTGACTGGTTTCTAGTTTTTTTTTAATTTGGTTATATAATCTTTGGATATTTCTTGATTTAATAAAAGCAACTATTGTGTTTTTCTTTCTTTACTAAAATCAAAAAATTGTTTGTTGATCTGTACAGTTAAGTGTTTGTTCGAGTTTGAACAAGCTTTGCAAATATTTTTAAATATGGTTCATTGATTGGTCGATTGGTTGGTTGATTAATTGATTGAATGAATGGTTGGTTGATTGATTAATTGTTTGGTTGGTTGATTGGCTGGTTTGTTGATTGATTGGTTGGTTGATTGATTGATTGAATGATTGATCGATTGACTGACTGACTGACTGACCGACCGACCGACCGACTGACTGACTGACCGATTAATTGATTATTTGATTGATTGATCTCATAATATTGTATATATAAAAAAAATTCGATTATGCCAACATACTATAGTTCAATCCAAGTAAGCCAACCTTCGGCTTCAGTAAGCTACCGGATTTCACCGGACCAAAACCAATTTTTATAATCAAATTAATTACAATAATTTAATAATACCTGATTTTATTTATTAAAATCATAATTTTATTTAATAAAATAAAATAGATTTACTACAATGCTTTAAGCATATTAAGTCAAGTAAATATTTCATAGAGCTGCTCGTTAAAATCCATGCAATTTCGTAAGCCAATAATCCAAGCCTGTCAAATATCTCGACCCTTGACTCGAACGATAGCAAATCACCCTCCAACTCCCCTACGGAAGTAAGCTCCTTGTTCGACCGTTAAAAGTGAGGGAAGGCCGTTATATTTATTCTAGTTACATGGTTAAAAGTTATGATCGTATATTAACTAATTACGGAATGTTGCTTGATTGAAATTCATAATTAAAGTTTAATAAACATTAAATTAACAGTATTTATAATTTTATTCTAATAAAATGTTTTATTTTTTTTCATATTGGAGGCAGTTATTAAGTAAAACTTCATGTCTCGCTCCGATGACGTGGAACTGCTACAATATTTCACGGACCATCGAACAAAATTGTACTTCCCTTCATTCATTCATTAATTCATTTTTTTATTCATTCATTCATTCATTCATTCATTCATTCATTCATTCATTCATTCATTCATTCATTCATTCATTCATTCATTCATTCATTCATTCATTCATTCATTCATTCAGTCAGTCACTCACTCACTCACTCACTCACTCACTCACTCACTCACTCATTCACTCATTCATTCATTCATTCATTCATTCATTCATTCATTCATTCATTCATTCATTTATTCATTCATTCATGCAATAACATACATATAAACAAATAAACAGTTATAAAAAAAAACCCAAACATACCTATTTGTTCTTACAACATATACCATATAACTTTCAACAAAAACTATTTATACATATGCACAAACAACGCACACGTACGCACACAAACACGCACACAAACACACACAGATAATTACACATTATACAGGAAAAAACCCCGTTCGCGTGATAGTTGGATCGAATAAAACAAAAAAAAGCAAAAATCGCCAAAAAACATTTCTGGATGATTCTAAGTAACAGAGGAATAAGAAAAAACAGAGCAAAGAATCGAAAATTTTGAAAAAAGAAAAAGAAAAAGCAGCATTCATCGAGCGTTTAGAAGGACCATTGTCTGTAGAATAATGGCGGGAAACTGAATAAATAAATAAACGTGCATACATCGGGTAAAATTATTATATTCCGGAGTTTTTTTTATTATTTTTCAGCATTTTTCTTCGTCATTGTTATATTATTCTCACTTTTATTATGATAATTATTACTATTCTTTTTATTCTTATTATTATTCTTTTTATTTTTATTATTATTGTTATTTTTGTATTTTTTTATCAGTTTTTTTGGTTTTTCCGATTCTAAGCACGCTATTTCCAATGAACGCCTATGCGTCATCATCATCACCATCATCACCATCATCGTCGTCATCATCATCATCATAACCATCATCACCATCACCATCATCATCGACGTCATCATCATCATCACCATCACCATCATCATCGTCGTCATCATCATCATCACCATCACCATCATCATCGTCGTCATCATCATCATCATCATCATCACCATCATCACCATCACCATCATCATCGACGTCATCATCATCATCATCATCATCATCATCGTCGTCGTCATCATCATCATCATCATCATCGTCGTCATCACCACTGCCTCAAACAAAACTTTAGACTTTGTCAGCCAACCAACCGACCGACAAGCCATAGAAATGCAAATCTAAGCACAAAGAACAATAAGACCCAAAGAAATAATAATAATAAAAATACAA